GATTAAGGAACAAATGCAGGCTGGCTAAAGAAGAATGGCTCAAAGAAAAATGTGCAGAAATAGAAAGAATGAGTGTCATAGATAAAGGAGATATGCATAAAAAATAAGGGAACTAACAAGACAGAAAACCTGCTCATCAGCAGGCTGCATAAAATCCAAGGACGGAACGCTCATATTAGAGAAAGAAAAAATCTTCAGCGCTGGAATGAATATATTGGAGAACTCTTCCACGACCGAAAAGAACAATACACAGAAATACCGACGTGTCGCAAATATTAAAAACCGAAATGGAAGCTGCACTGGCCAATTTGAACAAAAACAAAGTGGCAGGGCCAGACGGAATTGTAATAGTGATGCTGGAAGCCTTCGATGATTTCGGCATAGACGAGATTACAGATATAATAAATGAAATCTACAACAGTGGGGATATACCGGAGACTTAAGGAGACTTATTTTCATAGAACTACATTAGAATCCAGATGTAAACTCTACCGAATAATCAGTCTAATGAGCCACATAACAAAACTCATCATTCGAATTCTGATAAATAGAACGTGCAGAAGAATCAGGTTAGAGATAGGACAAGAACAGTGCGGGTTCGTTAAAGACACCGGGACAAGGTACGAGATATTTATACTCGGAATGTTACCAGAAAGAGCAATACAAATGCAGAAGGACGTGTACCTGTGTTTTATAAATAACACAAAGGCGCTCGATAAAGTACGCCACAAAGATCTAGTGGAACTGCTCAGCAAGCTTGATATATTTGGGAAAGATATTAGAATAGTCAAAAATCTCCATTGGCAGCAACCCGCCTGCATAAAGATAAAAAATGAGACCAGCAGATATAGAAACATAGAAAAGGGTGTAAGACAAGGATGTACCTTCTCACCGGACTTATTCAACCTATACAGGGAGGCGATTCTGAGAGAACTACCAGGATTCATCATTAGCGGTAACAATCTTAACAATATAAAATGACACAGTTTTGATAGCAGACACGGAAAGGAAATTAAAAATTTTCCTACAGAACGTAACGAAGGGACGAAACATAAACTACAAAAAGACAGAATCCATATTCATTGGCGAAAAAGATTAAACGAACATGCAAATTACAGGTCGGGGATACTAAAATTAAGCAGGTACAGAAATTTAAATATCTGGGAAGTGTTCTAACAGAGGATAGAAAGTGCTACACTGAGATCCAAAGATGTATTGGGATGGCTAAAGACACATTCTAAATACTAAGGAGAGCATTAAAAGACAGGGAAGTTTCATTGGAAACAAAGCAAAAAGTACTGAACTGTTACGTGATATCTGTCCTACTGTAGGGCAGCGAATGCTGGGGAAAATCTTTAAATATGAAGAAGAGACTCGAAGCAATAAAAATGTAGTTCTACAGAAGGATGCGGAGGATACCATGGACTGAATAGGTGAGCAACGACAAGGTTTTGGAAAGAATGGAAACAAAGAGGAAACTTATACCTAACATCAGGAAGAGGCAGATGAAATTTCGGGGACACGTAATGAGAAAGGAGGGCTTGGAAAATCTGATACTCACAGGACGAATAGAGGGAAAATGGACAGAGGAAAGCAACGCGTAATAGTTAATAGGCTTGAGGAAATGGATGGCAGAACAGGGTTTGGAAGAAACAACAAAAAAAAAAAAAACTTTTTAAGAGCTTCAATGTACAAGAGGAGGTGCAGGTCTATGCGATCGTCTACATCCTGAAGGATCACAGCACATAGAAGATTCTAATAAACAAATAATAAGTCTTGATCACCTCACACTGGCAAAAATGACCAATCCCCTGAAAAAATGCTTGAAGTGCTCTTATATTCCTGATTCCGGATATAAGAGCTTTTATGACGAAAGCACTTGTAACTTGTTCTTTTGAAATAATCTTTCTTGGTTTATTTATCAGTATATTGAATGCCCGGATGCACATGTGTGAGAACAAGCAGGCAAGAGTAGATTAATGCATTAACATCTATCTATCTATCTATCTATCTCATTCTTTTCATGACTATCAATGTATCTATCTCATCTGTCCATATATATATATATATATATATATATATATATGCATCATTCCCTTCATATCTATCTATCTGATATGTCCCGGAAAGCGATATAATTAAACGAAGTAGCTAAGTGGTTTTGGCTACTATAACCAAGTAGAATACGGTAGCAGTAATCGACTAGTACGCGTCGTAGTCCCAGGTAAGAAGTATAGATCAATGGCGTAGTCTAATGGGCATCGTTATAGACTTAGCTCTTAGACTAAGGCTCTTGATTCTCCTACACGTCCGTCGGTATTTATGACAGACACCAGCCAATCATATTCCGGTGAGGGGGAACACAGGTGTATGCATATTCTATTATATCATTATCTATCTAATTTGGTTCAGAACTATCTATGTATCTATCTCATTTTGTTCATATATATATATATGTCTAGATGCGCGTATTTGAGAGCAAGCAGGCAAGCGTATATTAGAGCATTAACCTCTGTTTATCTATCTCATTCTTTTCATGACTATCTATGTATCTATCTAATTCTGTTCATATATATGTGTGTGTGCGTGCGTGTGTGTGCGTGGGTGCGTCTGGATGCGCGTGTGTGTGAGAGCAAGCAGGCAAACGTGGGTTAGTGCATTAACCTCTTATGTCTTTCCTTCCATTTTACTTCTAACTGAATGTTTCCTTGGCGTATTCTTTCGTTAATTACTCCTTTAAATATGCAATGCATGTTTCTTCTAGAAACGAGTCTCTGATGAGTTTGAAAATAAACACGGAAATTACGAAATAAAACGGACATTTGTCTTAAATTCGTTTGGAAATGCGTAAAAATGTTACTTTCATACTTTACAATTTTATTTCACATCTTTTAAAATTTTGAAAATGTATATATGTATCTAGCTTTTTGTGAATTTGTCAATTCTTTCCTTCTTGCCATGATGATAACCTTCTTGCACGAATGTCAATTACAGAAAGTTGTGTTTGTATTTTTTTAGGTTAAATTCTAAAATATTCCACTTGAATAATCTAGCAATTTAAAAGTTTTAAAATCAGAAATTTGCATTGTACGAATACTTTTTCACCCATTAAAATGGATAAATGGGATTTATTTCTATTGGATCAAAATTTTCCTTTTTCTTATGCATATTTAATTATTATGCATCTGGGTACAGTTAATTATATGAAAAGTATGTGTATTGATTAGTTGGAAATACAATAAATTAAAAATTTGTATGTGTACGAATATTTTTTTCCAGTCTATACTAAATAGCTTTGTTATTTAACATCGAGCAATATTTTTTCTTACACTATAGAGTATTTATATGTATTCGTATACGATCGCTTGCTCGTATACCTACCTATGTTTTCTAGCCTTTCATTTATTATATATATATATATATATATATATATATATATATATATATATATATATACTGGACTCTCCGGTCGCTTTCGATATATGACGGTGCTTCCAGACCAATTCGGCCACTTTCCTGTGCACATCCCAGCGAACCGCATATACTTTCCTTTAATAAGATTTTTAGTTCATGGGTAGTATGCGCCGGCCCTTCTGTTGCCGAATAGAATTTAATATATTCTGAGGTAATATCTAGTTACAAATCCTCATGCTCGGAAATGCAGCGGTTTTGAATGGGTCGATTGAAATATTAACATCATGAGAAATACCAAAAATAGATGTAGATATTTTCTTCACCGTGGCGTAGCGAAGGTGTGTCCTTTTTTTTTCTTTTTTTTTTCTTTTGGTGGGTGAGGGTGAAGGAGGAAATCAGAGGAAATGAGACTCAAATATGGAAGTGGTTTTCCCATCCCATACAAAAAAATAAAGTAAAAAATAGGCCTTTTACGAAACGGAATAGGTTCCGTTTTACTAAATTTTAAATTCATTGGATTTTTGACTGTTTAAAAAGCCAAAAAATAAATGTAGGACAAAAACAGCTATTTATTCCACACGCATGCACACACACACACAAGTACCGCGAATATAAAATATATAAATAAATATTTTATATTCATTGGTTTAATTTTTGTTTAAGGGCTATTTATATATATATAAAATAAATGTGCCGTGGGTTAGAACAAACCACTAGCGAATCTCACCAGGATGTTATCAGGAAGGTAAGTTCTTGATGTTAATCGGTGTAGATGAGTCGAAAAACGATACCACACACGCTTGTGAGTTAAATGCACGGACACACACACAAGTATATATATATATATATATCATGTGTATATAAAAATATAAATAAATAATATATATAAAATAAAACATAATGTTTGTAATTATTTAATCAAACATATATATATATATATATATATATATATATATATATATATATATATATATATATATATATATATATTTTGATTTCGTTTCATTTTTATACAATTTAACATTTGATCAATTTAACATTATCTTTTTTTTTTCTTTTCGGAGGATAACTTTACGAATTTAAATGTCCAATTGTATTCTTATTCAGTTAAAGTTCATAAATAATTATATTGGCCATACTACAACATGTTTGACACGAAGATTCACACTACACCTTTATGACCATAGCTCAATTAGGAATCATTTAAATACTCATGGAAACTATTCGTAACTTACTTGTTGACAACACAAATATAATACCATCGTCTACATGTAAAAAAGCAAGCCAAAAATAATGGAAGTTGTATTAATAAAACAAAAAAAACAACAGTCAATATCAACTCAGAACATGGACACAATATCTTGATCGTGTTTTGAAAATGTAAACATTATATAAATACATGCATACAACAATCTATTTCTTGTTAACAGTTAATATATTTCAACCATGAAAATGGCTAAATTTACAGCCGAAAGCGCTCTGAAAGAAAGGACAATTGGACAGTTTATATATATGTATGTATGTATGTATGTATGTATCGTTATTTAATTTTTCTAACACGTATTCTTTTCATTTTCAATTAATCAATGTTGTACCAACATGTGCTTTTGGCTAATCGTCTTCCACATCGTGCAGTCAATCTCCTTATAGACATTTTGATCGACATGAGGAAATACCTCCTTAATAGTCGACGCCTTAAACGGCATATACATTTCTTCTGTCGCGTTGCAAACGTGGGTGAAATTGTTTCGTAAACATTTTGAATCGTCAAGGCATTTCCTAAAATCTATTTAGAAAAAGATAACCACTGACATTCCACGAGCAATCAATCTACAAAAACGTGCCAAAATATTCTTCTTCTATGGGTCATGTCCCTTCAGGGCGTGGGCTATCAAAGCTATCCATATTTTCTAATCCTTTGTAGCTTTTAATAAATTTTTTATCTTTTTCTTATTTTCTCGTAAACCCTGTTCCATTTACTCAAGCTCACTAAGTAGATTATGTGTTGATTTCCTCTGTTCCTCTTACCTTCAATCTGTCCTGTGAGTATCAGATTTTCCAAGCCCTCTTTTCTCAGTATTTGCCCTACAAATTTCAAATGTCTTTTCTTGATGTTAAATAAAAGTTTTCTTTTTTTCCATTTACTTTAAAACTTCGTCGTTCCTTACATGTTCGGTCCATGGTATCCTCAGCATCCTTCTGTAGAACCACATTTATGTGGCTTCACGTCCCTTCTCCATCTATGAAGATATTGTCCAGCATTTACTGCCACATGGGAGGACTAATATTAGATTAAATTTTCTTTGTTTCTAACGAAATTTTTCTTTTTCGTTTCGGTTTGGAAATGTATTTTTGGCTGTCGCAATGCGCCTTCGGATTTCAGTGTCACACTTTCCGCCCAGGAAATCTACACTGAAGTGCCAAACATCAAGTAATTATTGTTTCTTGTTGTTATTTAAATGGACAGACATATCAGTTGTGATCTGACATCTGGTGTGTCAGTTGTGATCTAACATCATGTAAGTCAGTTGTGATCTGACGTCTAGTGGGTTATGATTTGACATCTGGTGAGTCAGTTGTGATCTGACATATGGTGAGTCATTTATGATCTGCCATCTGGTGAGTGGGTTGGGATCTGACATCTGGTGAGTCAGTTGTGATCTGACATCTGGTGAGTCAGTTGTGATCTGCTATCTGGTGAGTCAGTTGTGATCTGACATCATGTAAGTCAGTTGTGATTTGACATCATGTAAAGTCATTTGTGATCTCACATCTGGTGAGTTATGATTTGACATCTATTGAGTCAATTATGATCTGCCATCTAGCGAGTCAGTTGTGATTTGACATCTGGTGAATCAGTGTGATCACTTGCAAAATTGCGAGTAAATTATCGAAATCTGAACTGGTCATGATGGTGGGTGATAGGTCATAACCTGGTTGAAGTGATGGGACATTTCATATTGCCAGAGCTACGGCATCCAGCGTGTGTACGAGAAATAGCATATGGAAGGCATGAACACCCACTGACGACAGAACTGTGACCGATCATGACATCATCCTAAAATTGTCTATAGTAAGAGACAAGAAACACTGGCTCTGATGACATCTACGTTCTATGTTGGAGATACCAGACACATATCCAACATGCCACTTCAGTGATTTTTTAAGCTTGCATAAGGATATGGGAGCAGAAGAGCCACGAGGGCATTTTTTGTTAACACCAAGATACTGAACAGTGCGTTGATGGTAGGTTACGCTTGTAATGAAAACCTCACGAGGCCACAGATCCCAGTTCTAAAATAAATAGGGTACAGGCTGGTAGTGCTTCCATACAGTGGTGGACTGGCCAGGGTGTCAGCTTGCCCGATGGCAAGTGGGACTCTTATGAAGTGGGCCCCGTTTTATCAAAAAAAAAAAAAAATGCAATAAAAAACACAGACAACTGTTTTAGTAATAAAACACAGAAGAATAAAAATGGAGAACAGGACGCAAATAAACAATACACGAAAGAGTGCGGGGGTGAAACGAGGAGGAATAGTGCCCTTCCCCGGGTCGGACGTAATTAAAGAAAGTTCATATTTTCACCAAGAAGGTGCGAATTTAAAGATAAAGTTAAAATTCGTGCTTTGAAATGGTCGGCAACTTCAAAGGATCCCAAGCAGCAGTCCTGGTTCAGTTGGTACATCAGTCCGGGACCCGGAAATCTATGAAGGGTCCGTAAAAAATTATGATTATTTAGATCAATAAATCTCCAACTTCTTTTCTGCGTTTTATATTAAATAGATTTTTTTTGTTTTTTTTTTTAAATAGAAATGCCAAATGAAAATGCTATACAAACAATCATTCAGTCTATGAAGAAACGAAGCAATGTTAAACAGATTTTGTAGTTTTGTTGAAACTATATTTTGGAATAATGTTTGTTTTTTTTTTTTACAGTAAGTTTCACCCTATACTTCTGATAGAGCGATACGTTAAGAGGCAGTTTATACAAGACTAGCAGTAGAGCCAGGCGTTGCCCGGGGATGTAATAGTAAGAGATAGATCAAGTATCGACCATCATAAAGACTGAAAAATAAAATTGACAAAGATTATTGTTTAAGGTTGACGGACACGCATGTCTTAAATAGTTTTTTTTTATTTTGTTTTTTTTTTACGAATTAGTCAAACCCAAACTCAAAGAAAAACATTGTTTTCAATCGTTATGAGTCTATCGATTGAATAGAATTTTATTATAAACAATTGTCTTGTAAATGGAATTTTTAAAGCATTGAATGTAAAAATAAAGAAAAAAGTGTGCAAGACAATAAAAAACACTACCTGCCAAAAAAAGTGAAGTTTTGTTGAAATCGGTTGAAAAATGTAGGAAATCCGATCCCATATATAAACAAACACACACACACAAACAACCTGGGTTTTATGATAAGTATAACTCGATATGAGTTATCCCCCTTTCATTCTGGCGACAGAATCGTGTTTTATCGTGTTTTCAAATTGATTTCGTGCAAAAACAATTGTGTTTTTACAATTTATGGCGTTGTCAGAACCACCGCAATTTAATTTTACGTAGTCTTGTGAAGTTTTGTTGAAATCAGTTAAAAAATGTAGGAAATCCGATCCAATATATAAACGTACACACACACACACACACACACACACACACACATTCACACACACACACACAAACACACACACACAATCTGCGTTTTATAATAAGTAAGATAGGAGGTGGGGGTTAAACTTGAACAGGTTAAGATGGTACTGATCAGGGAAACATCTTGGGAGTCGTTTCCACAGAGCAATATTTCACGGGAAGAAGCCATTCGAGTGAAACTGATTTCTCGCCGATGAAATACGGAGGGACTGTGAGTTGTTTTCTACTATGTAAGTAGCATGTCGGGTCCTAGCCGTGAAGGTTAAATCTGGCGAAACCAAGGAATGTAGTTCGTCCGAGCCCTTTTCATAGTAGTAGCGTTAAAGCAGTTAGAGACTCGTCACATCCTGATGGTGAAAGAGAGGATGGAGGCTGGAAATTAATTCTTCTCCAACAAGGACCCGGAGAATTCTATCAAGACTGGAAAGTGGGAACTGGGCAGCACCAAATATATCAACAGTACTCCATTTTTGTCATCGTCTGACTCTTGTAAACGTAGAGGATAGCATGAGGAATCAGGTACTTACTGGAACGGTACAGGGAGCCGATCATGTTTCCTGCATCTTTGGCAATGTATCGTACGTCTTCGTTTTATGTGCCGTGTCCTTTCAAGACGTAGGCGATCATGGCCCTCCACTTCCCACTATCCCTTAGGGCTCCTGTTCCTGCCAACTACCCTAGATCACGCTCCGCCAATCGCCTGCCCAAGTCCGCCACGTATGTCATGCGCTGCTTTCCTCTGTCTCTTTTCGTCCCGTGAGTATCAGATTCTCCAGGCCCTCCTTTCTCATCACGTGTCCCAGAAATTTCATCTGACTTTACTTTGTGTTAAGCATAAGCTTCCTCCTTGTTTGAATCCTCTCCAAGACCTCATCGTTGCTGACATGCTCGATCCATGATGTTCTCAGCATCCTTCTGTAAAACGACACCTCCGCCGCCTCGAGTCTCTTTTTCATCTTTGAGGAGATCGTCAAACAATTGCTGCTGTATAGGAGGTCAGATGTCACGTAGCAGCTCAGTACACTTTTCTTTGTCACGGTAGAAATCCTCCTGTTTCGCAGTACTCTGCCCAGCTCATAGGAATGCATCCTTGGCCATCCCAATCCGTCCTACCGTCCACCGTCAGAACACTTCCCAGATACTTAAATTTCCGCACATGTTTGATTTTAGTGTCCGCGACCTGCAAATCGCATTTTGGGCTCATCCTTTTACTGATGAGTTCTATTTGAGGTCAGGGATGAGTTTAAGGCCCAATGGTCACTCAAGGCACGTAGCCTCCCCGAAGAGAGATCGATTCATCGTGACTAGCGGTAGTTTGGGGTCTGATTGGTGATGATAGAATATAACAAGTTTGGTCTTCGTGGTATTGAATGTCATCAGCCATTTTCCCTCCACAGTTAGAGCAAGATCGGAAATTGTTGTAGTGATTTTCCAAGCTTAGCTCAGATGTGGCACAAGACCGAAAGTATCGGGCACCCAGTGAGGATCGAACTCACTACTCAGTCGTAATTGTTCTAGCGTGACAAGCTGGCTAACCATTACACTGCCTCGAAATGTCCTTGGAAATTGTTGTATATTATATGGATTAATGTTATATAATATATGGATAAAAGTAATGAAAGTTCTTTCATGTTAATTGTTTGGTTGATTTTGTCCAAGCGCCTCTCAAACACTATTGGTTATTTAATATCAAAATATTCATATTTTGAACACAATTTTACGGCTTCATCTAAATATACTTATACTTTCAACGATAGATAAAATCTGTTGCTGTTCATTTTTCTTTAAAAATGTATTATTGGTAATTTATTTTATATAAAAATGTATTGCTGCTATTTTTAATATAGAATGTATTTTTATACTTTCATAATATTTTGACTCCAGTTTTGACATTAACTATTTACCCATAGCTGGGACCCTAACAGGTGCTACCATCCAGGGTCAGCGTAGACCTGGGAAGAACAGCAATTAATATGTAGTTCCACGCTCCTGAAAACCTCCAATCTCCCGATCTGAAGCCTTGCTGCCGGATGTACTTTATCGTCATAACCAGGACTTCCAAAAACGAGTCTGTATGTGAGCTTGCGTATTTGGTAGAACTGGAAGGGAATTGTGTATTGCGTGCACTTTTCGCAAAATAACAGGTTGATCCGATTAAAGACAGCAATCAACGAAAAGCGTCTAGAATTGGCCAATCGAATCGGCATAGCCTTCCTCAAGACGTCTCGTTTGTGGAACTCACTTCCATCTCCAGCCAACTTTAATCTTCAAAAATTTAAATGCAATGCCAATCGTTATCTTCTGTCTTTTATTGTTTGTTCTCCTTAATAATGTTTTCTTTTTCTTATATTCTTTGGTACTCAGTAAACCCTGCGTCTTAGTGGCTTTGTTGCTCTGCTTGGAGTGAAATGATTAGAAAAAAGAAAATAGTAAGAATTCGGCTAGATATTCTGTTTCATATTAAAATACTCTGAGCTGTCTTCCTAATTTTATCTAATCTCTCTTGGTATCAAGTGACAACAGGTCATCTCAATAATCCGGAACTTTCTTCATTGATTTCCTCATTATTGTATCTGTTTGAACAGTTGCCATATATGGTGGGCTTTGCTCGAGGTCAAATGTCAATAGGTATACATTTATTCATTCATTTTATTCAATTAGCGCATTTTACGCCACCGTTGTGGTCACCATTCCCTTCCATCTCACAATTGTGGTTCATGGTGACATTCAAGGCAGAATAGTGCGATAGCTTACCGGTTCCTTTTGTACCTGACATGTTGAGGTTACTCTGTTCTTCCTCTCGGACGTGGATTTCTTTTTGAAGTTACCTTATTCTAGCCCTTGCTCAAAGAGGCAGGGTCCAAAAAGCAACGGGTAGTTCGAATTCAGAGTTTCCTTCTCCTAAACTGGTTGCCACCCAAGGCTATAAGAGCTGGTGTGTGTGGCGGGGAAGAGATGGATTCATATCTTTCCCAGTTGTATTAACACGTAAGTGAATGTAGTGAACGCAACCAGATTTCGAAACCGCTTCTCCGATTTCTTAATCCGAAACGTTAACAGTGCCTCCGATGTCTACACAATTCCTTGATATGCTTGCTGATTTGACTGATGCTGTCATCATTATTATTATTATTGTTTATTGCTTAGGAGAACATAGAAATTCTTGCTGAAGTCCAATTCCAACACAGAAAATGGTTAACATTTCTTTATTCCTAATTCTTCGTTTCCTATCCGACATAGAGTTACCATAGCAACCGTTTGGAAGAGATTGCCTTTCTATGTTCATATCGCTTTTGTCACAGTGCCATTGCGTGGCGGATTTACTGATTCAGGAATCTGTTGCCGAAATAATTTCATTAGAAGACAAAACGAATCGATCCAAATCATTTCTTGGCGTCCATTCTATTTTTCTTTATATTACTCTCTATCCATCTTTGCTTTTCCACTTCGTTCTTTCTTTCGAGTTTAATTTTCGACTTTACTCTTTTTCTTCTTTTATTTTGTTCTTTCTTTCTTTCTCTCGATTTAAAATTTTCGATTTTTTCTTTCTTTCCTTATGGCTTTTTCTTCTTTCATTCTTTCTTCTTTGAATTACCGCCTCTCACTCCTTCATTAATAATAGTCTTTCTTTCTCTCGCTCTACCCGTTCTGAATCTTTTATCCTTTTTTCTTTCTTCTCTTCAATTTTTCTGCCCCCTCTCCTATATCATCTCCCTCCCTCCCTCTCTCTTTCTCACTCTCAATCTCTCTCTCTCTCTCTCTCTCTCTCTCTCTCTCTCTCTCTCTCTCTCTCTCTCTATCTCTAGGAAGATTAATGAAAAAGTATAAAATTTTATCATTAATTTTTGGAATTGTGTTGGTATAATGAATGGCGTCTCGGGATGACATTTGGAGAGCCGAGTTCGAATTCTAGTTGAATCAGTTTCATTCATGTACACAAGGAGAACTGAATTCAAAACTAGGTTGGAGGGCGTTGGGCTCCACCAGGCTATCTTTCCCAAGACACATCACTGATTCTATGGTTGCAGTATATGTAGTGCTCCGACGACCAACTCTCTCTCTCTTTCTCTCTCTCTCTCTCTCTCTCTCTCTCTCTCTCTCTCTCTATATATATATATATATATATATATATATATATATAATAAAAAGGCTTAAACACTAGTACTCCATGATCATAATTTATTACATTCACCTTTACACCTTCCTGTTCTCTTCTGTTACCCATCCCTATAGCTTTCATTTACTTCTCACATTCGTCCTCGACTCTCATACATACAATCTCACTAAATTTTTTTTTCCCCGGAGTTATTTTTTATGATTTCTTTTTGAATTTGTAGGTCTGATGAATTGGATCGTACTTACGATTCCATTGTAATAAATTATGACCGTGAAAAAAAATTAAAGACGTAAGCATAAGCAAATTTCATGAACGTGCGCGTGTAAAAGAACGTTAAATTCATGAATACGCCCGTGTACAAAACGGAGTAGAAAAGCGGAATGAAAAAGACGCGGAACAAATGGAAAAATTGAAAAATAATAGGAAATATCGTTTAAAACCAGAACCCCTGAAGACTGGAAATGTTACCATGAAACTTCAAAGTCGAGATAAAATTGATATCTAAAAGTTAAGTAATCATTTCATATAATATTAATATATATATATATATATATATATATATATATATATATATATATATATATATATATATATAAGGCTCAAACACTGATATTAGTGTTTAAGCCTTTTTATTATATCCTTACTTTTGTTCTGGACACTGAGTTCTACCTGGATTCTATACTCTTGGAATTATTTTTCATATATATATATGCATGTATTTATATATATTTATATATTTTATATATATATATATATATATATGTGTGTGTATATTAACCACTATATATATATATATATATATATATATATATATATATATATATATATATATATATATGAAATATTATAAAAATATTACATATTATAAGATATTGGACAATGAGTACTGCTGCAAATAAAAGAGTGTTTAATATATAATAACAGAGCGATAATAAATAGACATTTTTCCTCACCGATAGCACAACAATGACATTCAGAGTTGTACTAGCACAAATCTGAGTGTCATTGTTGTAATACAGGTGAGGAAAAATGTGTGTATATATATATATATATTTATATTTATTTAACACACACACACACATATATATATATATATATATATTTATGTATATATATATATATATATATATATATATATTAAAATTATAGGAAAGAACAGTTAGATTTATAATCCAGAGTTCTTTAAGATTTATTTAAAAAACAAACACTTCTCGATACAGAGTAGAGCATAAGTTAATTATTTTATAAGAATATGTCTACATCGCGACACAGAAATTACTGTTTCGAAAGCGAAACTTAAATCCTAAAATTCAACTTCAAATTAGAAGTTTGGTTCCATTTTCAAGCGATGCTAAGAATAACTTTCGAAAAAATTTGATTTACTTTATTTTATAAGCCAAATCTAGCCAAAGTAAGCCTAACCCTAGCCAAAGTAAGCCTAACCCTAGCCAAAGTAAGCCTAACCCTAGCCAAAGTAAGCCTAACCCTAGCCAAAGTAAGCCTAACCCTAGCCAAAGTAAGCCTAACCTTAGCCAAAGTAAGCCTAACCCTAGCCAAAGTAAGCCTAACCCTAGCCAAAGTAAGCCTAACCCTAGCCAAAGTAATTATATATATTTAAGTTGAAGGGGTAAAGAGAATTCCCAATTTTTTAGGAAGGCAGTTGTTGGCTTTTTTTTTCAAATGAAGAAAATAAATGTATCTTTGTGTGACAAATTTAAAGACGGTTGTGGTTAGATGGAGTTTTAAGATTTCTGTCTGTTTCATACTGACTTTCTTTCAAGCGCTCCTGTCATTTCTGTCTGGTTTTTTTTTAATTTTATTTAGGTTTACATTACAATATATTTGGCATTTGGTTCATAAATAAAGTAAATCAAATTTTTTCGAAAGTCATTCTTAGCATCCTTTGAAAATTGAACAAAGTTGATTTTAAGTTCAATTTTTAAGTTCAATTTTAGGATTTAAGTTTGGGTTTCGAAACAGTAATTTCTGTCTCACGATGGAAATATATTTTTATAAAATAATTATATATATATATATATATATACGTGTGTGAAAATATAGAGAAAATAGGAAACATGAGACCTCTTATGTCACGAGTTGGAATCATATTTTTAAATAAATAATAATAATAATAATAATATATATATATATATATATATATATATATAGAGAGAGAGAGAGAGAGAGAGAGAGAGAGAGAGTGAAAGGTGCGCACAGACAGGGACATAAAGGAATTAAACTCGTTACGTCTTCACATGTTTATATCGATTGGTATTCTTAATTACTATTAATATACTATTTATACTATTCAGTATATATTTTTTACACAACAAATATTGGATTTTTTTTTTAAATAAGTTTCCTACATAGCAATGCACTTTTTTCAGTGTTGGATATTTATCAAGTGAATCGGTTTTATACATTCAAGATTTTCCAATCAAGGTAATGACTACGTAAAAAAAGCGACCGATGCTAACACACACACACACAGAGACACGCACACACATATATATATCGATGACAAAAGCATAGTTTCAAAGGTGACGGTTTCAAATAGGCCTGACGACTCTTTAAAGGCCGATTGACAATATGTTATTTACAGAAAAGAGAGAGAAATAGAGAGAATATGTTAAAGTGCGTTTAAAATTATATATATATATATAATTTCGCATTTGAGTAACACTCCTTTTATATAAGTTTCATTATAGACAACTGACAAGGAACTGCGATTAAGCTTTTAATACAAACACAAGAAAAATATATATATATATATATATATATATATATATATATATATTAAGAAATGGACAAAGTCCGA